CCCCCTTGACCTGTCCGTCCTCCCTGGACTGACCTATCTCCTCCCTAACTCCCCACCTACACTCGCTTTTACTGGCTCCACCCCGCCTCTTTGACCTGTCTGTCTCCTCTCCACCTATCTTCTCCTCTATCCATCTTCTATCCGCCTCCCCCTCTCTCCCTATTTATTTCAGAACCCCCTTCCCTTCCCCCATTTCTGATCTCATTTTGGGAGAGAAAATACAAACATATATGTGAATGTATGAATTTGAAGCAGGATTAGACCACTCGGCCCTTTAGCCTGCTCCATCAACGAGAATACTTCTGATCTGATTAGTCCACATTCGCACTTACTCCCAATAACCTTTAGCCCCTTGTTTATCAACAATCTATCAACTACTGCTTTAGCAATATTCAAAGACTGCTTCCACCTCATTTTGAGGAAGAAATTTCAGAAGATTCAAGACCTTGTGTGAGAGAAAAATTCTGTGTCTTAAATGAGTGGCCTTTTTTTTTAATACCTTCAAAAGGGCAAATATCCTTCCCATATCCATGTTGCCAAGACTCGTCAGAATCTTATATGTTTCAATCAAGTTGTCTCTTACTCTTTGAAATTCAAGCTTTCCCTAATTAGACAGCCACCCATTTCAGGCATTGATCTCGGTAACCTTCAAATGTATCTACTATTGAAAAATACAGAGTCATTTAGCTACATACATTAGAATATAACAAAACAAATTATATCAAAAAACGTATCAAGCAGGTTAGTGAAAAGTACTAAAAGACATGGAAATAACCATGTAGGTTAAGAATCTATTTCCAGCATAAAATAAAATCAAAGAATTGCAAATGGTGGAAGTCGAAAACAAAAGTAGAAAGTGCTGGAAAAACTCAGCAAGTCTAGTGGCATCTGTAGAGAGAAAAACAAAGTTAACATTTTGAAATAACTGTACAGAGGCCAGTTCCCATCATCAAGTCACCGTTTATTTATAGTGCACAGTACGGCTGTGATCAGTCAGCTTAGAGTCAGTCCTCAGTTGAGGAGATACTAATCTCCTGAATATATCGATCAGTCAAGGCTTTCCTGATTGGCCCAGGTTAACAACCTCAATCAAGAACCTTGTAGCCAACCAGGTCTACTTGGTTCCAGTCACAACACATTTCAATTCAACAGTCCAGTTTTTATGAGGTGTCACTGGTCGTGAAACATTCATTCTGTTTTACTGTCTACAAATGCTGTGTTTCCCCAGCACTCTGTTTTTGTTTTGTGATGTATTTCTGGCATTGCTTTGTAACAATGAGCTGTGCAGAGCTTTGAATAGTTTTTATAATTGCTTTTACAATAATAATGAATTGTGATTGTTGATTAGTTTAAATCCACATTAATTAGCTAACTTCTCTCTTCTTGAACCACAAACATTCCTGCCCAGGCTAGGGTAGATTTTTGCTTTAACCTCCTTATGTTAAGAATCACCTGGGTGAGTGAAAATCTGGTTGGAAGATTGCAGGCTGGTAATAGACCCACCTGATTTTCCTTCCACCTGAATTACTGAAGTATAAATGACACATTCTTTTTCTTCATTGCTTTTGTAAAAGGAATAAGCAGTATCATTTCCATATTTTTCCATTTTTGTTTTCACATGTGACCGAAAAATGCATCAAAATTAATTTGAAAACAGAAATGAATACCGGCAAAAAAGAACTTGCATTTATATTCTGACTTGTTCACCCTTAAAATGTTCAAAAGCTCCTCACAGCAACAGATTATTTGTGATTTTGTTACATAGTGAAGGCTGCAGTGAGTTTGTGTGCAATAATGTCACACAAAATAATGAATAAGACAAGTCAGTTGCTGATGTTTTGTTTTTTACTGGTTGAGAGATTATTATTGACCACCACAATAGACGAATTCCTTGGTCATCTTTAAGTATTGTCATGGAATTTTTCAACTCTTCCTGGCTAAACACTTAATGAGGTTTCAATTAAGGTGTTTCCATTTAACAGTTCGCCTTACATAGCACACCCTTATTAAGACACTGAAATTCTGGGGACTTGCTTGCTACTGTCTCTGGAAATCTAGTGCTCAGGGAAAAATCATGAATAAAGGGCCAATGTGAGCCCAGACCCATTTGAAACATAGAATAGTTAGGGCACAGGAAGAGATTATTCAGGCTGCTGAAAACGTACTGATAAATGATCAACTCAACTAATCCCAATACTTTCTCATTTCCTAAAAAACTAAGTTAAAAATTAGCTTAATTTTATAAGTCTATCTCACTTCCCTGCCTGAACCCTGCTAGGTGAGTTTTGAAATGTAATTTTCTTCATCATGATGTCCTCATCCTGGGAGCTGAAATCTGTGAGGGATCAGGCAGAATACTCCAGGACACTATTAATGTAAAACATGTGTATTTGATGTTGTCCTGGTGAAAATTGGCACCAAGAAAGGGATATGAAACATAGGGGGGTCATACAGTAGGAGGGAAGCAAAATATGAAAGATACTTAGCAAGATGTTGAAAGGCTGAGAGTCAAGAAGGCAAAGATTAACATTCTCCAATTAGGAGTGACATACAGCTGATAATGTACAGAAACATGTCAGATGATGCAAAGAAAACTACAAGTAGAAAATTTTTACAGCAAAACATTTAAAACATTTAAATAAATTTATAAGAAGAATGAAATATTATCATTTTTGAATAGCCATTTTTGAAGAAAAGAATTTGATATTTCGTGCATAAATCCAGTAGAATTATTTTTCTGTCTGTACTCAGGTTAATAAAGATTTTGAAGGAGAAATAATGTTTCGGACTCATATTGGTTCCTTTGCTGTTCCACTTAAATGTACAACTAAAAAATGTGATGTAAGTCTTGACCTGATATCTGTGCATCTTTGTCATGGTTATATTTACTATTTGATATTAAATGTGTAAGGACAAAATTAATTCTCCTCCATTTCATTACAGTAGCTGGGCTAATGTAATACATCCTCCTACCAAATTCTATCCGCAGAAACCATGTAGTTTAGATTCGAAGTATTTAATAGACAAGGTCAAAGACAGAGGCTCCAAGCCTGCCAAGGCAGAGTTGTAGATGTCTGCCTCAATGATGCTGTCAGGAACATCCACTGATATCTTGTTGATTTGATGATTTTAAAAGTGAAAAAACAAACTGGGTATTGATATTCTTAGTTATTAAACTACGAAGACCTCAACAGGTCATGTCATGACCATTTCTTGACCGCTATCAGTAGACTCATATCAAGAGTCTAACTTCTTCAGAGGCATATTCCTTATTTATTTCTTCCCAATTGTAATCTAAGAGAAAAGGAAAGTAGAAATCAAAAATTTTGAGCTTATGCCAATAGTTTAGTTCAACTTAATGAACTGGCCCAGGGCTCAAATTCCAGCAGAGTGAAGGGTTGATAAAAATGAAATAAAACAGGAAGTGCTGCAGAAATTCAGCAGGTCTAGTAACGTCTGTGGAGAAAGAGACAGTCACCAAGTCTAGAACAATGTGGCTGTTCTTCAGAACTGTTCAGATTTTGCATTCCTGTTTTTTTTTTGCCTTTTTTGATAAAAAGGAAGTTGGTTTAACATTTCACCTGAAAAATAGTTCCTCTCAACAGTGCAGCTTCATCCCACACTGAACATTACATGATGTTTTAGGATTTTTTCAGATATTTTATGATTCCCAAGACCAGGGAAAAGAATTAATCATGCTTTAGAGCTCAGTCATTCATAGGAATATAATTCAAAACATTGTCACAATTAGTTTGAAGGAATCTTTTGTTCTGAATTTACTTTATTTTAAAGGTGTTAAATCTGATTTTTTCTTTGTTTTTAGATAGTTAAATGAAATTCTTATACTTCTAAATCTTAGATTAAAAGTGCTCCAGGTTAAATCCTGGTATTGGTTCCCATGTTGAGTTCCTTCTTTTCAGCCAGCCAGGCAGCAGTATAATTTAAATTGCTTACAATGTCCCGAGACTCAGAATAGGAAAGATCAGGTCCTGATCATTATTTGTTGTGGATGTTGGCTTTGGTCATTGACTGACTGATGAGAACAATAGACAAATGGCCTGCCAGTATTTACAAGAATAAATATCTGCTAGGACCAGTAGAATATCATCTAGATTTTATTATTTACAGTATTACTAATCAAGTCATTATTGATTTCATATATTTCTCTGCTGTTTAATAGACACCATAAATCTATTTAAAATCAAGTTGGTTTTGCTGTTAATGTAAAATGAAACCTATTTCTTACAAATGTGTCAAATACTCTTACATATGTCACTGTCACCAACCAATATTTCTAGATTAACATTGCAGGAGGGGTGAGGTCTTCAGAAGGGGAAGAAAAAAAGCCAATGAGAAAATTGTATATGTGCTGGTTTTTCAAATTGCTTCAAACTTTCTGCATAGGCTGAGTGTTTACAATTGAATCTAAAGTCTATAGTTAATTAGAAAGATCGAACTTGTATATACTGTAGAAAGTTCTGTTCAAACATGAGTTACAACTTTATGTTGGTTCCTGCAGCTTGTTGTAGATAAGCACATTATTGACTTTGGATGCCATACTATTGGTGAAACAATTACTCGGACTATCACTCTGATCAATCGTGGAGCACTGAGCACATATTTCCAGTTTCTGAAATCCGTTCCAAAACAATCGTTTACTGGAGAGGTAAGCATACTCAGATAGTATCAAATTTCTTTTAAGTAAACCATCATGGTATTACGTGTACAGAGTCATGGTGGGGATTATTTTAACTCATTCACTCATATTGTTATGAACACATGAAAATAGAAAATTCTTATGGTGGGTGTGTGGAATGCGTTGCCAGCAGTGGTGGTGGAGTCAGATACTTTAGAGACTTTTAGGCGACTCTTGGATAGACACATGGAGTATAGTAAAATGTAGGGTATGTAGGCTAGTTTGATCTTAGTAGGATAATAGGTCGGCACAACATCGTGGGCTGAAGGGCCTGTACTGTGCTGTACTGTTCTATGTTCTATGCTATGTTCAAATCGGGATTGGACTTTTAATAGTACAGAAATAATGTGGATTGAAGGATACAATGTGGGGAGGAAATAGTTGTTTGATGACAGAAGGTGCATCTAAAAGGAATGTGGCAGTTTTTTTGAGAGAGACGAAGGTCTTGAATAGTGCCCAAATTTGATTTGTTAGTGGATGGAACAAGGTATGCCAACACACTCTACCTGAATGTAGTGTGCAGCTGTGTAACAGTGAAGTGCAAAAGCACCAAATGCAGCCTATTTTAAGCAGCTATTCCCACCTTAAATGGGTCTTGGGAGGCCACCCAGAAATTGAGCAATCCTAAGGTAATTGAATGGTTAGTCCATCAACTATTTTTAAAAAAAGGCCCTGGCATTAGAATTGCTTATTGTACACAGGTACTATTAGGGGAAATTTGCCATTCACATCAACCCTCAAGAGTCTGAATACTGCCCTGAGTTAAAGTCAGGGCTCATGAATTGGAATCATTTATATTTAGGCTGAGACAGATTTGAAGCCTGCCTCCTACTGATGGAAGGCAATGTCATACCACCACTATCAAAACTGCTCATGATGTGCGTCAACAGGCCATGAGCAAGGACCTGTACTAGGGCAGAGCAGATATGAATGAGTGAAATGAATATTTAGGCTAGCTGTCATTATAGAGCATGTCATTTCATTTTACTTTATTGTTTTTCTAGATCACTGAATTGATTGTTCCATCTTCAGAAGGTAACATACTAAGTTCAGAAGTTGAATTTAAAGACCAGCGAAATGATTGAAACTTTCCTCCAATTAAATATTGGGAAGAAAAGACACTACAATCTTTGGCTGCAAGCTTTACACACAGGCCACAGACTCCATCCCTGTCCCTGGCAATTGTCTGAAATTCAACTTTGCTGTGCACAAGATTAGTGATATATATATATATATGAACTTGCAGTCATATTTTCACCTCTATAATATCACCCGACTAAGCCCTTGCTGAGCATTTTTGCTGCTGAAGCCCTTATCCATTCCTTTGTTACCTGTAGATTTGACTATTCCAATGCATTCCTGATTGGACTCCCACATTCTACCCTCCATAAATTTGAAGTCATCCAAAACTCTGCTGACAGCATCCTAACTTGTACTAAATCCTGTTCAACCTCACTCCAGCACTCATGACCTACACATGCTCGCACTTAGGCACAGCCAGAATTTTAAAACCTCATTTTTGTGTTCAAAGTTCTCCATGACTTCACTCCTCCCATCACTGTAATCTTGTCCAGCCTCTGAGCTATTGGTTCCCTTCTGATTCCATCACTGATGTTAAGTGCATCAACATTGGTGGTCACATCTTCAGCTGCCTGGACCCCGAACTCAGAAATTCCCCCTCAACAACTCTGCATTTTACTTCCTTATTTTCCTCTTTAATGACGTCCCTAACACTTTAAACAAGTATTTGGTCGACTGATGGAAGTTCTCCCTATGTGGTTTGGTGACATTTTAGTTTAGAATGCTTCTGTGAAGTGCCTCAAGAGGTTTTATCAGATTAAATGTTACTGTACAAATACTAGCTGTTCTGATGGTATCCTTCATGAATTCTAGAACAGCAGCATGTTTCTAACTTTGGTACATTAAATTCAAGAAATTATACTTCTGCCAAAATTCCTGGAAAGGCAGAATGCCCAGTTTTTCCACAGGATATTATTAGAGTCATACCGCATGGATGCAGAACCTCTGGTCCAACCTGTCAATGCTGAACATAATCCCAAACTAAACTAGTCCCACCTGCCTGCTCCTAGCCCCTAGCCCTGTAAACCTTTCCTATTCATGTACTTATCCAAATGTCTTTTAAATGTTGTAATTGTACCCGCATCTACCACTTCCTGAGGAAGTTCATTCCATATGCAAACCACCCTCTATGTAAAAAAATTGCCCCTCATGTCTTTCTAAAATCTCTCTCCTCTCACCTTAAACATTTTTCCCCTACTCTTGAAATCCCCCATCCTAGGGAAAAGACAACTACCATTAACCCTATATATAGCCCTCATGATTTTATAAACTTCTATAAGGTCACTTCCCAACTTCCAACGCTCCAGTGAAACAATCTCACGTGGCTGAACCAGCAGGTCTTTGAAGATGGGAGGGGTCACTTAAACTTTAATGGGTGCCATGCCCACTACGTGCCTGCCCAGCCTTGCCTCAATCACAATAATTCGAGCACAGGGTCGCCATCAGCAAGAAAAAATAATCACTAAAGAAACAGCAAACAGCAAACAAGGGGTAATACAGTATCATGTGGTGATTAGCAAATAAATCCAAAATCATAACACATTTTTATTTTGATTTTGGTAGAAATATGGAACAATGACAGTCTTTTCAAGCACACTGATTTGCATATTTATATTCCCAAATTCCTTCACTCTTTAGTCCCATTTCAGTCTCACTATTCAAGCACTCATCCAGCACTTTCAACATTCATTTCTACCACTGCCAATGCGCAGTGGCAGCAATGTATACCATCGAAAAGGTGCAGTGCAAAAAGTAACCAAGACTCCAAACCCAGGATCTCTACCACCTCGAAGAACAAGGAGAGCAGGTACATTAAAACACCACCACCTACAAATTCCTCTCCAAGCCACTCACCATCCTGACTTGGAAATATATTGCCGTCCCTTCACTGTTGCTGGGTCAAAATCCTGGAAAACTCTCCCTTACCTACACCAAATGGACTGCAGTGGTTCAAGAAGGCAGCTCGTTGCCATCTTCCATGGGGTAAGAAGGATGCCTCAGAGAAGATGGTGGCCGAGCCAGTGACAGCCTCCCCATCCCGTGAATGATTTTTTTAAAAAAGCTGTAAATGGTCTTCTTATCAAAATGCCACGCCTCACATATATATAAATTGAATTCTATTTACTAATTACACATCCATTTGTTTATGTCGTTGTATTTCTTTGAATTTCCAGGTTTTTTTGATCTTGATCAACAGCTTCACAATGAGATCAAAGTTGGCAAGGTAAGAATAATGAATGGAACACTGAGAAATGCCAAGTTTTTAACTATTCGTACATCAATGCATTCTTGACTTTCATTGTTGTAGCAGAACAGAAAATGTCAACAGAAAATGTCAATCAATGGAAAACATCTCAGGCTCTGTTTTCCAATTCCATTGTCACTGGTGATCTAGAATTGATCTAGATAGGAGTATTGCTCCATGATTAACTATGCTGCATCTCTCTCCAAACCTCTCTTCCCCTTCCCCTCCACCTTATGTCTTGACGGGGAGCCTCATATGAAAGATAAACCATTATGCCCAAACTGGGCCACTCCACTTGTGGCTCAAGGCCAAAGTTATAAAACCAGCACTCGCATTAATTACCATCAAAACCTCAAATGCTTTACATGAAAACAATGAACACAACTGTTAGTTGCAACTTATTTTGTAAAACCAAACTGTTGTAACCTTATAGCAGACAATTACAAATTATATTTTCAGATTAGTTGTTATTTAGATGGCTTTCTGAAAATGTCAGATCTTCCCAGATACACATTTGCTGACCAACTCTTGCCACGTATTATTTTGTCACTTCTCTGTTTCCTTGTTCCCTAACAAATTATTTTTAATTTCTACCTATGTATATTCCCCAATATTAATGAAGTTATCCAGTTACACAGCTTATCCTACCCATTGCTGTATATCTGTTGCCTTGATGTTTGCTGTTTAAAGTATCCTCTTCATAGTAACAACATATCAACAATAGGACAGAAACCAAGGCACTCTATTGCTTTACTTCTGGTATTCTTCATTTTCCAGCTAGATTTTCCAGTGTGCTGGTGACTGTGGAGCCAGAAACATAGTCAGAATCAATGAGTATCTCTAAAAACAGTGGGATTCCTGCCCAGCCGAATTGGAAAATTGAAACTCTTTTTAAAATTTCTTTAAATATTTTCTTTAATTTCTCTTGAAGAGTTGATTGGTATTCACAATCTGACATGCAAGATGACAATTCAATGTGTTTTACTTCATTATTTGCTAATGTGTCACCATTTATTTAAGTCATTTAGTGTCAGAGGAAGGAATGCTTTTTAACAAGCCAAGGAATCCCCAAAGTTTCCCCAAAGAAATTCCTGTCAAGATCGGCAGAAACAACAACTTAGGATGAGAGTGGCAGAACTAATACAGTACTAACTGGAATTATTATGGAGGCTAACAATATCCATTGTTCCTTGTTTACTTCCTCCCTCCTTACTGTCCAAGGCTCCAGACACAGCTTTTGGGACTCAATATTGAGGTCATTAATTTTAGGCACCTCTCAATGTCTTTACGACAACCCCTACATACCGGGCAGCATGGTGGCTCAGTGGTTAGCACTGCTGCCTCACAGTACCAGGGACTCAGGTTCAGTTCCAGCCTTGAGCACTTGTTTGTGTGGAGATTGCACATTCTCCCCGTGTCTGCGTGGGTTTCAATCTGTACTGCATTTATACTCCACTCGAGACTCCTCCTATCTTTCCTCACGTAAACCTATCATTATAACCCTTTGTTCCCTTCACTGTCATGTGTGTATCTTGCTTCTCCTTAAATCCATTTGTCTCAATGAGTTTCTGTGATGGCAAATTCCACATTCTCATCATTTTATCCCCTCTTACCTGCCTATAATGCAATAAATTAGCATTTGCTCCTAAGGTAATAAATCACTGAAGTCCAGGAAATAATTTTCGGTGCAAACAATGATAGCTGCCTCATAAAGTCTCATGTTGGGTAACCATGTGTTTTGGGATTAAAGAATAGAACCTTTCATATGCACTACCCTGTTTTATAAGATCTATCTGTTTGAAAAATGATTAAAATTACCTAGCAACATTTTATAATGTTAATATTGAGAGGCCAAATTAAAGTTTGCAAATTTACTGTTAAGTAGTACACAAATGTTATCCTATCCCAAAACAGATTGTAATGTTAGCAAGAAAGAGGTTAGATCCTTATCTGAAAAGGAAAGAAATTGCAGGTCTATGAGGAAATGATGATGGAGTGGCACCAAGTGATGTGTTTTTTCAGAAGACGAGCACAGACACATGGGTCAAGTGGCCTCCACTGTGTTTTTATGATTTTCTGATTTTATGATAATTGTAAACATTATCTAACTGTGATGTAAGGTAATTTGTGTATATTTTAATATCATTTACTTTAGAGTTTCGATTTGAGCCAGTGGCATATGGGCACAGTCTATGTGTCTGAAGGGGGTTTGATGATTAACTTCTAAGTGGTTCTGAAGCCATGGTGATTCATTTTAAAAAAGCTGCCTGAGACAGACAGTTTGTGAAGGCTCATGGGAATTTGTTTACATTGGGAGTTTACAGTGAACAAAATAAGCAATATAGTGCCTTAGGTTTTCAGTTGGAAAATTCAGGAATTTTTTGGGCATGGGGAAGCACCCACAGCTTGGAAAAAGTATTTTAGTTTCAGTTTAAGAGTTTGTAGAAATCTTAGCTGAAGCTGGATGTATAAAACAGTTGCTTCTGAGAAAGGGAGATAGTTCAGGACTGTTAAGAAATAGGCTACCTTAATGTAAGGAGTTTAGTTTAAAAGCTCCAGACAAGCCATTTTGGTTAAAATGCCATGATGTGGAGGTGCTGGTGTTGGACTGGGTTGGACAAGGCTATAGTCCGACAGGTTTATTTGAAAACATTAGTTTTCAGAGCTCTGCTCCTTCCTCAGGTACAGTGTGGAAGAGGAAATATACCAACACAGAATTTATAAGCAGAAAGGTAACAAACCTAAAAATGACGCTGACTGCCTCCTGTTGAATCTTTAATCAGTCAGAAAGAAGATGCAGGTTTCTATTGATTAAAATGCAAATCCCAAAATTTCTTTCAAGTCATTGCCCTGAGATAATTAAAGGTTTTATCAGTATATACAAGACATGACATCTCAGGTCAGACAATGCACTTTAGGTGTGTGGCCTTATTTAGAATCTATCTGGTGTTTTAACCTGCAGTCAAGCTGGTTTCATTTTTTTGAACAAAATAGAATTGTATCTGCAAATACACAAACATCTTGGATGAAGTAATTCACCCCATAAATTTAGTTGTATGTGCATGTGTGTGTGTGAGAGAGAAAGAGAGAGCGAGAGAATGTATTTGTGTGTGTGTGTGTGTATGTGTGTGAGAGAGAGAGAGTGAGTGAGTGAGAGAGAAAGAGAGAGAGATGATGTGGAGGTGCCGGTGTGCAGAAGGAGCGAGACTCCGAAATTTGTAACTTCAAATAAACCTGTTGGACTATAACCTGGTGCTGTCTGAGAGAGAGAGAGAGTGTTTGTGTCTGTATATGTGTATGTGTGTGAGAGAGATAGAGAGAGAGTGTGTGTATATGGTGTGTGTATTTGTGTGTGCGTGTCTGTGTGTGAGAGAGGGAGTGTGTGTGAGACAGAGAGAGAGAGTGTGTGTGTGTGTGTGCACGTGTTAGAGAGGGTGTGTGTGTGTGAGAGTGTGTGCAAGCATGAGAGAGGGTGTGAGAGAGAGTGTGTTTGTGTGAGAGAGAGGGTGTGTGTGTGAGACAGAGTGTGTGTGTGTGCGCGCGTGTGCGAGAGAGTGTGTGTGTGCGCGTGTGTGTGTGTGAGTCACCTGTGGCGCAACAAGTACCCAAGATCACGATTGAGGCTATCTTCATGGGTACAGAACTTGGCTATCAGCCTCTGCTTAGTGATTTTGCGTTGTATCCACCTTGGAAGTCGCTTACCCAAAGATCTGAGGCCGAATGTCCATGACCACTGAAGTGCTCCCCCACTGGGAGGGAACATCCCTGTCTGGCAATTGTTGCATTGTGTCCATTCATCCGTTGTCGTAGCGTCTGCATGGTCTTGCCAATATACCAATGCCGCGGGGTATTCTTGCCTGCAGCATATGAGATAAACAATGCTGGCTAGTCACACGAGTATCTGCCATGCATGTCTCTTAGATGTTTTTCCCACATGTGATGGTAGTATCCATGTCGAAGATCTGTCACGTCTTGCAGAGGTTGCCACGGCAGGGTTGTATGGTGTTGTGGTTGATGTTGTCCTAAAGTTGAGTAGTTTGCTGCAAACAATGGTCTGTTTAAGGTTTGGCAATTGTTTGAAGGCACACACTTGCACACTCACACAGACCCTCTGGCACACACACTCTCTCCCGCACACACACATATACTCCCTCACATTCACACACTCTCTCTCTCTCTCTCACACACTCACACACACACCACAGGCACACACGTGCACGCATAGATGTGCACATACGTTTAAATCTATGGGGTGAATTATTTCATCCAAGATGTTTGTGTATTTGCAGATACAATTCTATTTTGCTCAAAAAAACAAAACCAGCTTGACTGCCGGATAAAACACCAGATAGATTCGAAATAAGGCCACACACCTAAAGTGTGTTGTCTGACCTGAGATGTCACCTCTTGTACACAGATAAAACCTTTAATTATCTCAGGACAATGACTTGAAAGAAGTTCTGGGATTTGCATTTTAATCAATAGAAACCTGCGTCTCCTTTCTCTAACTGATTAAAGATTCAACAGGAGGCAGTCAGCAAGTCATTTTTAGGTTTGTTACCATTCTGCTTATAAATTCTGTGTTGGTATACTTCCTGTCCACACTACACCTGAGGAAGAAGCAGAGCTTCGAAAGCTAATGTTTTCAAATAAACCTGTTGGACTATAACCTGGTGTCATGTGATTTTTGACCTCGTTAAAGTAGTGAAGGGCTTATTTTAAGCTGAGATAGTCTAAGCTTAATTGTATGATGACTGGGAAGAGGCTGCCTCATTCTTAAGTCGTGACTTGAAGCTACAGGTAAATTAAGCCATATAGATATAAAAGAGAAAAGAATTCCTTCTGTGTGAGTATTGTAAAGGTTATTTTGGGGATTAATGGAATTTTAATTTACTGAATGTTTCTAAATATTTATATTATATGTAAATGGTATGGTTTATTTTAATTTATTATCATTTCTTTTGTTCAATTAAGTTCTG